TTTTCTCGTCAGCTTCTATGTAGTTTCGCAACTTTCACCAAACCAACAATTGGACATTGTGAGGTGGGAAATTAACATTGCAAAAAGCAAATTATTTTCCTGCTGCTCTGATTGAAAAGATGATTGCTGGCTTGGATCATCATCAGATCTGTTTCTGGAGCATAGCCCAGGACTTCTCCAGTCCTGACTTGGTTGTCTTTTGGAACATTAACAGCTAGAGTATATTTGGAGATACATATTTAGTTTGATATTTATGTCTCTTCTTGTGATGCTATCCCAGGTGTGGTTTATCACTAGTCTTGGCGATCATGGCAGGGTTATATTTTTAAGATAGAATTTGGTTCAAGGTACGTGATGGTTCACAAGAAATGCATAGCAGTCCTTGTGGAGTTCTGTGGATCCAATACTTGGGCGCTTGTTTCAGTACATTAGGTTAGGTGCTGAGGTTTACTGTTTGGGTGGGACAGTACTTCATCAGAGGACTGGACTTTTTTTTTTTTGTGGGGGGTTTGTTAGTTGTTTTGTTTTTGTTTTGTTTTGGGGTTTTTTAAGAGAATTAAAAAAAATCCTTAGTGGATTGCTTGTGATACAATTTTTGTTCAAATATCTCATATCAGCACAGTATTTCTTGTTTTTGTCTCTCTTGAGGTAATTATTCATATTTTGTAGATGAGGAGTTCAGGCAGGTGATGTAACGTGTCTATACTAGAGCTGGAAGTTTATCCTTATTCCTTTAAATCCTTGGCTTGCAGCCCAACCACTTATACTTCAGTTCCCCTAAGATAAAGGCACCCCAAACCAGTTTTAAGCTGTCTTTAAGCACTCTGACATGTAGTAAGAAACAGTACAGCTTTTGGCTTATCTTTCTGATATTTTGTGGCGCTTCATATTGAGGGTCTGCAAGGGGATGAATCAATCTCTCAATTGCTGCTGAAATCCATGTGTGAGCTGGAGGCTGCACACACTGTGCATCTCTCCTTCATGTACTTCTAAGATGAAACAAGGGTTGCAGCTATAATTTATAGTTAAATCCATTTGCAGTGTTGCCCACTTATTCTACTTTTTCTTTTTTTTAACATTAATGCTTATAGTAATAAAGACTTTGTGAGTGTGGAACTGCTACAATTGCACAGGAATGTGTCCATTCATCCTCTTAAATGTGGTTTTTGTTTGTGTTCCTTGAATTGATCTCTGTTACCCTCTGGTGCTGCAGCTGTTCCTAAAAATAGAAACGCTGTTTATTGCATGTTGACAAGGAGAAAACTGATACAATTCCACATTAAAACTAATGATGCTCATGTGAATTTATTTTATACAATCCTTAATACCATTACCTGAAATTATATGAAGAGTGTAAGGTTTATTTTTTTTTCACTTGAAACATGAAAAGCATAATTTGCGTCATTCAAAAAATAAATTTTATACTCACCCTCTAAACACACACTACTAGTACACGTGATGAGTTTGGTTGCTTCAGGCAGCATTGAGTGTGCTTGGTGAGCCTGACTGTTTGCTAACCAATTGGAGTGGTATCCCATGAGCAAAGCACGGTCCTGCAGTGCGTGACAAGGATTTGACCTGACAGTTTTACCATCACGCAACACATGGAGGCTTAGAGTTACAAAATCAGGCATGAGGGACTGTGTGGCAGAGACCTGGGCTGTGCTGGCTGCTTTTGCAGATAAAAACGTGTAATGCTTTTGTCAGACAGAGAAAACTGAAAAGCCATTTTCTCTTTGCCTTTTTCTCTATCCTGCCTTACTAGAAACTGGCTAGTTGTGTAGCCATCTCTATTTTTGTTTGTTAAAGACATTGACAAATCAATTGTGCTTATGCAAGGGAAATGTATTAATTTACTATGATGGGAAGCCATTTGGTTTGTCTTTCTTAGGTTACTTTGCCTTTCAAAAGGAAGATGCTTGGGTTTTGGATATTTGAATGGTTTCTTTGTGCTCTGCTGTAGATTGCAGTGGGGCACTTTACTTTCATCACACGTTGCTGGCTGATGTTGAGCATCTCAAACAACACTTCCAAATCCTTTTCCTCAGGGCTGCTCTCAATCCATTCTCCTCCCAGCCTGTGTTTGTGCTTGAGATTGCCCCAACCCGTATGCAGGACCTTGCACTTGGCCTTGTTGAACTTCATGCAGGTTTGCTTGGGTGCACCTCAAGCCTGTTAAGATCCCTCTGGGTGGCATCCCTTCCTACGTGAATCACGTGAGTGATTGCACATCAATCACTCCACACTGCTTGGTGTCACTGGCAAACTTGCTGAGTGTGCACTCAGTGCCACTGTCCATATCACCAACAAAGATGTATGTTAAACAGTGCTGGTCCCAAAACTGCACCCTGAGCATCACCACTTGTCACTGGTCTCCACTTGGAAATGGAGCTGTTGACTGCAACTCTTTGATTGTGACCATCCAGGCAATTCCTTACCCACTAAGTGGTCCATTCATAGAATCTGTATCTCTCAAATTTAGAGACAAGGATGCCATGTAGAACAGTGTCAAATGCTGTGCGCAAGTCCAGGTAGAATACATTGGTTGTTCTTCCCTTGTTCACCAGCACTGTAGCCTCATCATAGAAGGCGACCAAATTTGTTTCTTGGCTAGTGAAACCATGTTGGCTGTGACCAATCACCTCCTTATTACCCGTGTGCCTTAGCATAGTTTCCAGGAGCATCTGCTCCACAATGCTGCTGGGCACAGAGGTGAGGCTGACTGGCCTGTAGTTCCCCAGGTCTTATTTTCTTCCCTTTATAAAACTGGAGGCTGTGTTTCCCCTTTTCCGGTCAGTATTAAGAGATGCATCTGAAAGGGGCTACGGGCAATAGCAGGAGGAATGTGAGAGACTGAAAGAGAAGGCAAGAGAAAATACCAATAAGGGGAAGGAATGAGTTGAATTTGAAAGAAAAAAATGCCGTGGGGAATGCGTGTGTATATCTAAACAATAGCATTCATGAAAAGCATCAGTGTTTCCATCAGCAAAAGCATTACAGCTAGCAGTTATAAATGCCAGAGAAGTCATGTCCAAGTTTGTTTTTCAATTTTAACAGAAAACCCCCCTCTTTTGTAGAAAGAGCAGCCTCATCTTGTTGGAAAATAACTCCAAAATTCAGAATGATGTGGTTATTTTGTGCAAGATGTACTCTGTATATATATGAGTTCAGATTGCAGTCAGAGAGGCACACAATTAGTACCACAGCCAGCACTGAGCAAGGATATCCTGCTGTAACTAGGCCTTGAATAAGGCAATTAATCAAGAGGTTTAGAGAGTGTCTCATGTGAATCACCAACTTGGCAGAGAAGACTTGAGGTTTATATGAATAATTGGACCTAAAGAATGCAGGAAGTCATAAAGAAGACATGAATTAGTAAGACTGGTAGCTAGAACAGTCTTGAGCAGTTGAAGATGTAGGAGTTGTGACGCTGTGGTCTTCAGGTGAACTTAGCTCGTTATAATGTAATTATAATGCTAAAAATCACACTGCCAGTTCAAAAAGACCCCTGCCCAGGTGAAGACCCTTTTCCTGAACGTGTGTGATAGTAGAAATAGTGATGTCACTATATGTAAGTAACTAACCAATCACTGTAAAGAGAATGGACTCGAAGCTTACTAACTATAGTTTTGTGTATAAATATGTCATGAAAAATCTCGTTTAGTATGCTCAATTTGTGTGAAGGCACCAAGCACCCAGTTCTGTACAAACTTGCAACAGATATCAGAATCTCTTTCCTAAACAGTGTCTCTTTGTGTTTCAGGAGCTATCTTAAAATGCTAACAATCTTTTCATGCAACGTAGTAATATTACATAAATGCAGATTTTTTTTAATTGCTACTGGGTGAATTAAAATAAAAACTTCTTTTGCATTTGATTTACCTATGTCAGTGGAACACTTGATGATAGATTAAAAAGAAAAGAGGCTGGAGCTAAGGAAAAAAATCATTGGAAATTTGGATTTAATATAAAAATATTTTTTAAGACTGCTTAGTGGAAGCCAGGAATCGCACATCCTCTGTGGAAAGCTTTCTGGTTTTGAGTGTTGGGTGATGAGTTCCTGGAAACTGAGCAAGGCAGGTTGAGGGACTCCAGTGTTTAGGTGCTCATGAACTTGTAGTTCATACTTAATGAACGTTTGCACTGCAGCTTGAAGGGAGCTGAGGGATCTGTTTCTGTGTATGGCTTATACACCCTGACAATCCTTAGCAGAAGAAAACTCAGTGGAATTCCAGGAGCTGTTGTTCAACTTCTTGACACCACTTTGACAAAGCAAATTTAAATCTAAGCGTTTTCAAGGAATTGTTGGTCTTCAGGGCTTTAGTTTTTGTCTTTTCTCTTCCTTAAACTGTCTTTTTAGTTTGTTGTGGCCTCGGGTTTTTAACTCCTCTTTGCAGCTGAAATGCTCTTGGAAACATCAGCTGGTAGGCACATTAGCTGGCCAGTTGCTGAGACAAGTTCTGAGCAATGCTTTGGTTTCTTCAAGGATGGATTTAAATGCAAAGTCTCCAAAATAAATTAACTTCTCTTTCTTGTTATCTTTTGAACTGTTTACTCTTTATTTGACTGGCCACTTAATGCTTTATGTGTGACCTCAAAGCATTATCTGGCAGGGAGGTGTATCAGCTTGCCACTGCAAGTCAGCAGGTGGTCTGTTGTGTATGTGCTGCTGCATGGACTTGTATCTTGGAAGTCTGTCACTTTTGAGTCTCGGGGGATCTATTGCTCAATTAATCCTTTTTTGCTTATAAAAATAGGTGGGGTTCATGTATTGTTTTACAGAATAGGTGTTAACAGGCATCATCCTAATTAAATGTCTGGAGCATTTTTCCTTTCTGGCTTGGATCTAGAGAGCAGTGCAGGAGAGGAGGCAGTGTGGAGGGGGTGCAGAGTTGTTCAACAGTCTTAGTTATATGTTTAGTAAAAACATGACGAAATGTGCATAGTATGTCTTAAACTACCCACAGTAAAAATGTTTCTTTGTGTTATTTCTTAAGAGGATGCCATTCCCTGTGGATATATTGAACGACTGCAGTCATGAGGACTTGGAGAAGTCATCAGAGAGCTACTTGTCTGACCTTCAGAGTGGGGATCCAGAGCATCCTGAATTCTTTTCACTGCCAGGCCATGGCAAAGTAAGAACTATCTTAGTCTCCGTTTTCTTGATATGTTTGTAGATTTAAAAGATTTTAAAAATCCAGTTCATAACTACTGAATCGCAAGACTATTTTAGCAAAGCTTTTGTATTTTCAAAATTCCTGTTTGTGTACTAAACTCTACTTTTTCTTCATTCTGTAGTTGGATTTAAATCTGAGCATCAGGAACTATTTGCTACTTCTAGACAATAGATCTGATTAAGTAATTTTTTTAAAAACTGGAAGTCTCAACTAATGAGATCTAAAAAGCACTACCTCACACAGCCACAAAAATCTATCATAACTGTGGGGTTCATTATTTACTGAAGCTAACTGACTCTTTGTATCTTAGTCCTCCAGTGTTCTTCGTGGCTGGCCTTAATTCTTTATCAGCAAGTTTCAGTAATTTCAGATACAATTTTTTTCTTTTTATTTGAAATAGTCACAGTTCTTATTGGGAGTTCTAGTAGAGACTGTGACACTTCATGTTTTTAACATTTGTCCCTTGTGTGGTAAGTTGGACCCTGTTGGTTCTGTCTAGAAGAACATTGCTGTTAAAACTAGTACCAATAAAAGCAAGAGTGTGTATCTTGAATGAAAAATATGTGAGCTGAGAGGATTCTCTGTGGGAGCAAAAAGTCATTGCTGCAGATTCCTTGGCAGAAGCAGAATCTTGAGTACTTTCCTGTGTTTCTGCAGGTGCTATATGCCCATATGTTTGTATTAATATCGTCGATTGTGGCATAGCATATCATAATTGTATTAAATTGGGTAAGCAAGTCTATTTACAATACCGTTAACATCTCTTTAGTTTTTATGCATTATTTAAGTATCAAAAGCATGAATTTATGTATTAGAATGCGTTTTCACAGTGTTACCCAGCTTCTGAAAGGTAGAGTGATTTGACCCTTCTCATGTTGTTGCCGGGGGGAAATCAAGGAGCCAACTTTGGAATTTCTAAAATACATACGATTTAAGAGAAGAAAATGCTTTTGAATCCAGCTTTCCCATCTTAGCACAATCGGGCTGAGGTTAACAAATAGCAGCTTCAGTGTGCCTGTTGGTTTCTGTGCTTAACTGCCTTCCTCTTTATGTAGATTTTGACAGCTTGCATAGCTGGGGCAGTTGAAATGAACGTATTTCTGTCTCTGCACACCTTACTTCACTTGTGCACATAAATGCAAACTGCTGACAGCAGAGATGTAGCAGTATAAACTACTGTCACTAAAAATGCCAGAGGATGAGTCAGAGCTCTTTATAATCTAGTCTTGTCTTTAGGAAGATATATCTAAAGTAAGGGCTGGGGTCTGATGCTTGTCCTTTACCGTTAACTGTTAAGCTCTTGGTTTTCAACATCTATCTTGCTTACTCTGCTAAACATTCTCTATGTATTTTGCTAACGTTTTAGCAAGAGTTTATTGAAGTATTGTACACTCTTGTTTCAGATTCCTATTATCTTGCCAACCGTGGGCTTCGTTCCTCTTTACGGTGAAGAGCAGACACACAAAGTTCTTGCTTTGTTTGCACCAGGGGATTTGCTCACAGGTTTCATTTTAAACTTTTAATCTCTGTTGCTGTTTCTTTTACTGTGACAAACATGTGACCAGGCCCTTGCTCATTGCATGCTGATGTAGATCATAACTTTGCCACTTGTGCATTTGTTTTTCACTGTATTCTTGTTCTCATACTAATATTTTTGTTGTCCAGTCATATATACAAGTGACAGAACATTGCATGGTTGTCAGAGTAGAACTGGATCTGTTGGATGCAAAAGATGTGTAGCAAAATAACATGGTGCTTATCTGAATCTCAAGTACAACATGTGTCTCTTGGTCTTATTATGTACATCTCACCTGTCCAAAATAAATTAATTGAGCATTCATAGAATCTGTTAATCTGCCTGTGGTTTTAGATATTCTTTATTAGCAGTGATCGGTCATCTTCAAGTGTAAATTTGTCTCTAGCTTCAAGTCCTAACATAGCCCTAGCTAAGGTGACATCTTACTGTTTTGGGTGGATTTTTCTCCTTTTCCCTTTTTCCTTCCAGTCCTCCATGTTGCCTTCTCTTTCCATTTAATTCCATGTATATGATCTCCAAGTTTGTCACAAATGCCCATAGATCAGACTTCTGACTGCCAATCACATGTCCATTAGCCTTTTTTCATTCATCTGACTCCCTAAAACTTGCACAGTTTCAATATCAATTAGCAACCCCAAACCAAAATATGTGCGACTGAAACTCCTTGGCAGGTGCACTTTTTAGTGGAAGAAGGTTCTAGAGCATAATGGTGGAGGGTAGTGGTTATGTCTGAACAACAGTTTCTGTATGTCATACTGTAGAAAACCTACATTTGGTTTTATTGTTCTCAGTTTTCAAGCAAATAATGGACTAGGGAGCATCACATACTGGGGGGTGTATATCATCACATTTATTTGGCTTGTGTAATAAGGACTGTGTTAGTACAGTGCCAACTAGAAGATGCTTAACTTTGTTACTACATTTTTATTCTTAATTGTTTAGCAGCTTTAATGAGTATGTTTCTTTTGGAATGTTAAGAATCGCTAACTTTTTTATTTCCCCTTGTTTCTTTCAAGCTGTAGCCCTGTATCTTGCTGAACAGTGGTGGTCAATTGATGACATTGTGAGAACATCTGTCCCTGGTAGACAGGGACTTCATCAGGTAAAGCACTCTAGCATTCACCTAGAAATTTTTTTTATCCTTCAAGGTAATGACAAGCAATAGCAAATGGCTAATGTGTGAGATGTTTCATGTTTTCATTTCATTCAAAAGTTAACTGTCTGTCTCACATCAAAAGCAAGGTCAGTGGGATTAGAGGAATAGGCACAAAAAAGAAGGGAAGTTTGTTGTGAAAATAGTGTTTGGAGCAAGCGTGACTCTTGTACAGTAGCTTCATGTGTGAACTATATAGATACTGATGATGTTTAGAGGTTTTTTTCTGTATTCTTACAATGTTGTATGTCTGGTTCTGTGGAAGCATCTTAGTAGAGTGGTTCATTGGACCATAGCAGCTGAACCTGTTGGTCTTACCAGGAGACTAGCAAGCTAAAAATATTGTTGGGAACCCTTTGATAGAAGCAAGTTGGAGCTGGTGGCTTGCTGTAGCAAACCATGAGGTTTGGAAAGTAAGTTGCCTGGTGTCTGATATGTTCCTCATTGCTGACCTTTGGTACTGTTAGTGACACCTACGTAGCATGGACTTCTGGGGGTGTTTTTTTTTTCCAAAACTGGAAATCCTTGGGTTTTTTGAGCAGTATAATTTATATATGCTCATGAAATCTGGGCACTCATCTCTGTTTTTTGTGAGTTTTTAAAATTTACTGTAGAGAATTTGATAAGAAACCTTGTTTGCATGTGCTTCTTAATGGTAGAATGGCAATTAAATTGGGAAAGCCAAATCTTTTACTGGTGAGGTAGCGGAGACTCTGGACATTCTTCCTTCCCAGTGGATAGGGATAGTGGTGAATTTTAAATTTTGCTTGTAAAAGGAACCCTGTATGACTGACAAAAGGATTTTGAGTTGCTTGTTTCATGCCACAGAAACTGTTGCAACTAGTTCTTCCACTGCATCATGTCCTGTTGTCTACCACTCTCTCAGCAGTGAATGAGTATGCCAAGTCTTGCTAAACTGCGAGGCTCAATTTCTAAGACTCTACTTACCTGCTAGCCTGTGAAGTGTGAGCCTGGTGTATTGCTATTGTGCTTAGTGAATGTTTCTTAAATCCAAAAGTTATTTTGAGTCAAAATAAAAAACTTCCCCTACTTCCCCACTCCCAGCACTTCTTTCAGCTTTTACCCATTGGATTAGGAGTGGCACTGAAGTAGTGATATACCCTCTGTCTATGGTAGTGGTTTATGCTTCCAAGCATCTCCATGCCCTCAAACCCCAGAGCTTCATCCTGCTTTAGTGCTTGCAGCTTCTCTTGACTCCATCTGCAGCTGTGTTAACTGGCAACTTTGAAAAATAAGGTCCTGATATGTGATATTAACTAATCTGACCAGTCTTCTAAAATATTCTTCTGTATTTCCTTAGGTGAAGTCTCTTGGAGAGAGGGTTGTTCTCTATGTTCTGAATCGAATTATCTACCGGAAGCAAGAAATGGAGGAAAATGAGGTCCCTTTTCTCTGTCATGGTAGCAGTGACTATGCTAAGATCATGTGGAAAAAAGGAGAGGCTGTTGGGTTCTATTCTGTTAAACCTACAGGTAAAACACTTGAGTATTGTGGGATTTAGGGGAGAAGAGGGAGGAGATAAAGAGCTTATTTGAAGAATATTTTATTTAGAAGACTTTACAAGCCTTGCAGGCCTAATGAAGTAGGTGTTTTCCTGAAGTCATAAGAGGTCAGATTCCTGTAAAATGTCTGGCTTATGTGCTTCAGCAATCTAAGTTTTTAGGTTTATTCATATTCTACAAAACACATTTAAAACTGTATAAAAGAAGTATACCCCAAAGATTTTTTCTTTTTCTGAAGAGCAAGTTGTTTATGGTTGGATTGGGCTGTGCTTGTTTTTTTAGTGTTTTTTTTTTTTTTGACGTAGATCCAGAGTGCAAAATTCCTTTTGTCTGAAATTATTGTAGAATCAGATGCCATTATGACTTAAACATCTTGCAGCATAACAGCGTAAGAACTTTTCTCACAGGCATAAGATTCAGCTACTGCTAGTGATAACAAAGAGATTCCCTTTCCTTCCACACATGCATTCCCTCGGAGATTAAAACTGAGCTGGCAGATTTATGCTATTAACATTACGGACTTTCTGTTGTGTTTTGTTTTTTTTCTAAAACATTGTGATTTCCTATAGTTACTTTGGAATTTGTGTTTTTCTTTTTTTGCTGAAAAAAATAGTGTTTGGATAGGCTGTTTAGCACACTGATAGCATTTTGTAGAATACTAATGTTTGGATCAAGGAGCAACAGCCTTATATTCTTTTGTCTCTGGAAGGACTTAACTAATTCAGGATTAATTATGATACTGGAGGCTTGCTGGAGACTTACCCCATCTATCATACATACATAGGTATATGTGTATATATATCTATATATCTATCTTTGCAAACTGTAAAAAAAACACCAACAACAAAAAACAAACAACCAAAACTGTTTGGGGCACTTTCTGCGACCTTTCTGGTCTGGCAGTCAAGATAAGAAAGTTACTGGCTAACTTGTTCTGATTGTCGTTATCTTTTTGTGCATGGGTTTCTGTGGGTTTTTTGTGTTCTTTTTTTCCTTAAGGAGATTAGGCATTGCACAGTTTGTATAAGTCTCAATATTATTTTTAATGTTAAAATTGCTGTGGTGTGGTGGTCACAAAGTAGTATTTATGTTGCAGTGTTTTTTGTTGTGGCCTTATAAAGCTAGAAATCAAAAGTAGTGATTATGCTTTTAGTCTAGAATGGGGGTACTTCCTGATGTGATGTGGCACTGTGAAGTTTTGCTATACTTAACACTCCTTGTAGTCTCATGAGGCCCTCTCATATACTTGTCCTTAGTTAGCAAACACTGAAGGCTAATCTTTTTAGACATAATAATTTCATCCCTGATGGTTGTGTGTTTTATTCTGCAAATTGAGCAGAAAGATAGCTCTGGAAACATGGTTAGGAAAGAGTAGTGGAGCTTGACTGATATTCCTCAAGGTATCCAAGTGATGTACCCTTTCTGCCCATGTTTTGTTTGCTTGGAAAATGTAGGTAAATATGTTCATTGGTCTTAAAAATATACAAGGGTGCAAGAAGGACATGTTGTATAGACAACTGTGTTCATCTCTGGTTTTGTTAGAGGAAAGGACAAATTTTTAGCATAGTTCAGTGGCTTTCAAATTGAGACCCTGAAATGGATTGGATAATTAATGGGCTATCTTACTGCCATTTTATGGCATCCCTTTGTTGCTGAGTCCATAGCTACCCTTTCATACTGAAGCACCTGTGTGTTGTGACAGTCTGTTTTATCTTTGTTTAATTACGGATAACATGGTGTTTACGGGAGAATTCCAATGTAAAGTGTCCTAGAATTATCTGTGGTTTTATTTAAAAAATTGGAATTGTTTTAGTCTTTAAACAAGAGCTGAATTGTAGTCTTCATATTTGTCTAGAGGAGTGATGTAATCTCCATGAAAGTGCAATTCAATAATTTTATTGTCTCCTTTTCCTTCATCCTTCCTTCAGTTTCATTTTTAGTATAGATTTCCTATGGAATTATATAGTGAGATTTCAAAGTGAGCCTTTCCTCTCTTATTTCTGGTATTCTTTTCAGGTATTACAGACTTTTACTAACATATTGATCTATTGGTGTATCTTGACAACATAACGAAGCTTACCCAAAAAGCCAATGAATGGTGGATAGCAACTATTTATTTTTAATGAACATTATACATTATTATTATACAATTACATGACTTACAATTATTGAGTTTGGTATAATTTTTATAGATTATAAGTCTTGATTTGAATAGTTAAAAATACATGCTGCAGCATGTCAATGCTGAAGAACTGATGGATATTTTTCCCCTCTTATTATTTCAGGAAGTGTTTATGGCTCTTACTGTGCTCAAAGATACAAGCTGCCTGTGCTTGACACAATATTTGTAAGAAAGGAACATCGTGGAAAAGACTCAGGGCTAATCATGTTGGAAGACTTTGTGGATTCCTTTAATGAAGAAAATCTTGGCCTAAGGTACCCACTGTCATCTTTCATGTACGCTGGTAAGCTCTTTATATTACTCTTCTGTGCTTCCCTGTGCTTTCTTTACATGTACCAGTGAGTCCTGTCATTCAAGCTCTATGTTTGTGGTTGCATCCTCAGTTCTTTTATTAGAAGCTCTGCTCTTCAGTAAAGGTTAGAAAGGCTGACTTGCTTAAGATGGTGAAGTAGTTTGTGATTAGTTTTTAATCCCCTACATGAGATTAGAGTTTTGGATCTTTGTTGGCTTTCTACTACTGCAGAGTTTTCCACTGTGTTCCCTTTAAGCTTCCAGAATGGGCTGAGGCATTTCTGTGTGTAATATATCTTCTTTGTACCTTTTTCTTGCTCTGTCTTAAGCTTCACAAGGTCACTTAATTCATGCTTTCTCAGAACTTGTGGTCAAATGGACTTACTAGGCTGTTTTAGCTTGGATATAAGAAGTCACAGTTCTAATACATAAGGAGAACATCTGTGGCTTTTCCATTAGCAACCCAAGAGGGTTATGTGCTCTCGGAAATGACGTGTTCTGGAAATGATACTGCCTGAGGCTGTATTCAGGCAAGAAACGTTTCCTTCGCCCTGTTTCTCAAGGCTTGTCCTACTCTTAGGCCAGTTACTAAAACTAGATTTGATTTATTAGGCTTCAAGCAGCAGAATTTTATGACTAATCTATTTCCCTGGTCTAGGAACTGTACAACAGGGATCTTATCCATTGAGATTATGCATCAGTGGTGACTCTAGTGAGAAATTGTAGTTTTCCTTGTAGTTACTACAGAAAAACATCAAAGCATGTGTCTCAACATTAATGTTTAGTATGTGTATTGGGAGAAAAGAGGTGGAGGAACAGCTAAGAAAATAAACCAGAAGTGAACAGTGAGTGGATGATAAACCATTCAATGGTAATGTGTTTGCATTCTCAAGGAGTTTTTTTCATGAATGCCTATAATAACATGGATTAGCACAGATCGTCTGGCTGTATCCTCTGCCTTAGAGCTCTTCCATCTGGGTTTGGGTCTTTGACAGGGACCAGTGAAGGTGTAAAACTCAAGTGGGTGCTTAGAGATAACACTGGAACATGTTTTAACCTGAGTAAGCGATTTATTGAGGAGTAGGGTAAAGCAGCATTATATTTATTTCATGATCAACTGTTTTGTTGAATATTTCTTTCTGTGGTGATTTATGTGTATGATGGAAGACTGCAAATTAATTTGTTTCCAGATAAGCTTTAAAAACTGAGGTACAGCTGAATATATAGTGTATATGTAATATAGTGGTTTTCTTATGTATGTTCAGCTTGTAAGCAGTATCTTGAGAAGTACCCTGGGGATAAGTCGCTCTTCTGGGAAGTGGAGGGAGCAGGGCATTGGTTCCAGAGAAGGTCTGTTACACAGAGAATACAAAGAGAGAACCTCAAAATGACAGGTATGGATGTTTTGTTGTTTTCTGACACTTTGTAAGAGTTGGACAAATACTCTGTAACACTGACTTCTAAGAACACTGCTTATGGAAACTAGCAGAAAGACATATACACTTTTTTGTCCTGATATCTGTGAGATCATCTTTGGAATGGTTAATTGTTACATGAAGGTACTATAATTTTCCATTTCCCTGTCTCCTCTTTTAAGCCTTAACACCAGAGACCTCACAGAAAGAAAACAAGGCTATTCAAGCAAAAGTTCGCTTGCAGCAGTCTGCAGCAGTATCTGAAGCAAGCGGACAGAAGACAGAGCTAGAGACACATCTAACTGTAGGTACACATTACCCATATATTAAAAAAGCTTGAGAGCTTTTTGGTTTTCTGTACTCATGTAATATATTTTGTCCTATTCTTCTGACTTTAGTTACCTGTATTTTATGTTCAGTAAATGTTTGTAATTTCTGTGAGAGAGTACATTTCTTAAGTAATTAAGGATTTGAGCAGATTAGTATATTTAATCAACAGTATGTTACGCTTGCTTGATATTTCTATTTCAAGTTCTCAAAGAGTAGTCCTGGATTGTGTGGAGTGAAGAGGTTGTATTTTTTGTACGTCTTTAAATTAAGACGTGACCAGTTTGGCAGAACCCATGGCTTTTCCCAGAAAGTTGTGCCTCTTCAGTTGACTGTTTAGGTACTAAAAAAGTCCCAAAGTAGTGCTTTTTTTAGTCTCTAAATGGCCAGAACCAACAATTCTTATGCTGTCTTTCACTTCTAACAGAATTTTGAGCATGGTCACTGAGTTCTAGATTGAGATTCCAATAATGATCATATCAGCAAAATGCAAAGATATCGTTTTGGTTGTAGAGCTCTATGGATATACTTGGAGAAGATAGCAGAGGGATAGTAGTTCTTAAAAGAAGGAGACAGTAGATAGCAAAGTGCTCCAACTCCTCATAGCTTACTAGAGTTGCTGGAAGTTCTTTTCTTGGCACCTGCACTATCTACAAGCAGTTCTGTAATGCTTTGGAAATGGTTGAACCACCAAACAGAATAGAATATCCCACCTTTCCCCACACCAAGAAAAAACATTCCCCAACTTTCATTCTCATCTTCCAGTTAGAGCTCCCTATTTTCTGTGTTTTGATGCTAAAATGAATCATGTAAAGGTTTGGGTTGGAAGGGGTCTTAAAGTAATTTGTCATTAGTCTGCAATTTCTCATGTATTTAAAAATCACTTGAAACTATTTCAAGAAGCAGTATGTAGATATGGCCACTTTTTTCCATCCTTCTTGGGTAGTGCAGGAAGTGGGGCTGGAAAGGTGGCAGAACACCTGGATGCTGGTTGTTGCCACTTCTAGATGACATTCAGCATCTGAGAAAGAGGACTGTGCATAGCTTTATTTTAATGTGAACAACTTTGTACCAGCTTCAGAGTATGAAGTTCTTGACAACTGAGTTGGGATGGTGGGGAAGAACAAGAGAAAAAGAGCTGCAGAGAGAGGGAACTCTGGCATAAGCAGCCTCTTGTGCTGACTGTGTTTGCAGCCTGCATTACTGCTGAATCATTAAGTTCTGTTTTTCCTTGTCTGATCTTTTTTTACAGAGGCTGCAGTATTCTGTTGCATGCCATGATAAGAATAGGACTATGAAATAGAATAAAATAGAAAAATAAAACTTTCCTCTTAAATTTTGTCAGCTGCTGTGGTGTAATCCCTTGGATTTATACAGGGAAAAAAAAGACTTCTAGCATTTAATTACATTGACACCTGTTATAAATGGAATTTTTTTGAAAACTCGGTAGTGTTGTTTCTATGACAGGCTGTTTTCAAGTCTTATCTTTTATGTTAAGGCCAGAAGTAAAATGCAAAAAAAAAAAGTCCTTGTAATAAGGATTTTTTTAAAATGTATCTGTTGAAAGATAAGGTACATATATGTAAGTATCTTAAAAAGAAAGTGATTTTAGCAGCTTTTCCTTAGAATCATTATTATGAAGTAGTTCTTAAGGAAGGTGCAACCACAGATGGATAGATTAAGGTATTTCAGTCAATTCAGAATTTTCTGAAATGACATTAGCTTTGCTTTTGCTTCACAGGCTGACCCTCAAAAAGGTAAAGAATCAACAGATGTTCATGCCAGCACATCTCAAGGTAAAAATAACCTTGATTATCAATATTGTAATTACTGTGGATTAATAGGTTAGCAGACTCTTTTACTGCTTTCAATCTCAGCATATTAATTGCAAAGTGTATAAAATCATAAATTCCTCTAAGGTAGTGGAGCTCAACTCATAAACCTCTTAGAGGACTTCAGATAAAAATTGTTATGATAAAGGTTTTTTCTTGATAAAGATGATTTGCATGTGTACTCAGAAAAAAAGTTTCACAATGACGTGCTGTCTTACTTTCACTGAGTTGCTTTAATTAAATACTAGACTAACAGGGTAAATTATTCATAGATCTTACACTGCATTTGTTCACTTGCATTTATTTTGTTTTGGTTTTGTTTTTCCTAAGACCCTAATACAGCTCCTGTATTCTTTCGGACACGAAGCAGTAATTTAAAACGTCCCAGGATAGGAAGACATAGACAGGAACCTGAACCTGGAACTTCCCAAGAAAATACGGAAAATGCTCTTCCTGTGTCAGAAAGCAGGTAGAGGAGCCCGTATTTTATTGCTTTCTTGTTTTGTTGCTTGGGTAGATCAGTGTCTCACAGTGTGCTACTTTGTACTTCTTCTTATTTTACTTGCTTGATTTTAAAATTGCTAAAAGTCAAGCCTGATGTGATATAATTGGTACATCACCTGAAGAATGTTTGCACCAAAATACAGTTTCTGTGAAAGTTTGGCAGATACTGCAAGGAACAGGGCTAAAAGCATTCTGTTTTAACTGAGTCTGCATGAAGGTAAAACCATCTGTATCCATACAGCAGGATTTCTTGCGATAATATAGCTGGACATCCACAATGCTTTGTGTGATTTTTGTGGCATAACAAGTGGCGTGTTGTCTCTATATAATAACAGTTAAAGGGAACCACCACCCATCTTCAAAGTAAAGCCCTTTGTTTAGAAAAATTCTAATTTAAACCCATCATATCCAAACTTAAATCCTGGCAAGAAAACCTCAAGTTACTCTCCACTGTATAGGATGTAATAATCCTGTGTAATAATTGTTAAATAGGGATGTGAAGAGTTGTACCATAACAATTCTTACAATACAGGGCCTTGAAGTACTAATTGGCATTGGCTTCCATCCAGAAAACAGAACTGAGGCTATTTCAAATAAATAAATTGCTTCTTCCTCTCATACACATTACTCCCTTCCTCCTATATAAGTGTGTGTATGATTATAAATACACACTGTTCTCCTCTGTGCCCCTAAGTCTCTTGTTCTCTTCCAAAAAAACCCAACAAAACTCCAATACAACCTGAAAAACCTCTTTTGAATAGCTGAGGCTACCTTGATTGTTTTCTAGGAAATCCCCCAAAGAGTTGTTCCATTAGGTTTTCTTTAACCAAATTAGTTGTTGGTGGTTGTTTCTGTTTTGTTGTGTTTTTTTTTCATATGAAGCTGAAGTCTTCAGGGAGATATGGCATAATTTTTTTGTTTATATTATTCTGTGGAACTACAGAGATACAGCACTGCTGTCCTGCACTGTCAGTGTGCTGCTCTAAGTCAGTTCAGACAGGCCAAATGGCATGGCTTGATGCCACCACAGGTTGAGAAATTATTTTTCCTTTTACTGCAAATAGTTTGCTGGGTGCTATGTGAGAGGACTGGCTTGTTACTGAACGTCAGTACTTTGGACCTTGCAAAATGAAATTAATCAGGTGCCACTGCTGCTTTGAACAAGATGTGTAGCATGGTGTTTGTAAACAATGCTAAGGGGAATCCTTGTGGCAGCAGGGCAGGATGTTAGCTTTGTTCTCTCCTTCCATGCACAACAGCAATTCTACAGGGTCTTCTGTCACAGACTTTGTCCTTATAAAGTGCCTTCATCTCAAGATTGGCACCTGGGATAAAGCCCTCCAATTATGCCTTTACTGTAAGATCATGAAGCAGCCTCCTGCAAATCTGTTGGATGTACTTTTCTCCATTGTTTGCCTGTAATACTTCCAGTTCATCTGAGTTGTATCATCTCGAAGATGAAAACTGAATGTTTGAGAGAGTGTTAGTACCCATCACGTGCATCAGAACTTCATCTTTAGCTATTTGCTAACTTAATCTCTAGCTGATTGAACCTTTCTCAGCCATATTTTTTTGATTGCCTTGAAATTTTTTTCTAGTCATGGTCTTTCTAATGTACGTATATTCAAAAATTGTAGAAAGATATTTACTTCAATAACTCCCTAATTTTTGATTGTTTCTACAGTGGGGGTGGCAGAAGTTGCTTCTTTTCTTACCCCTTTGTAACTTCCAAGTGTAACGGATTACTGCGTTCTAAATTTAAAGTAACCAACTTAAAACAAGTTTCTGACATTTATTCCCATAAGGTGGAAGTGAGACAGGTGTCTTTATTTTATAATTTCCAAAGCCATTTTTCCTAGTTGTTATTTTGTTTTGCTAATGAGGAGTTAGCCATTTTAGATCTTACATAGTTTTCTATTTTCTTTCTATTTCCCATGGTGGGCATCTAATACAGCAGTTTATAATTGGTCATTAATTTCCCTGCTGAGATCACCAAAATATATTACTTTAAAAGATAAAAAGATATTTTTTAATACCTGCTGCAGGCTGGAACTTCCTTCCCATACATCTGAAAGCCCTGAGGATTTAGTAGAAGTACCTGAGGAGAATACTTCTGAGGAGGATGAGAAAAAAATTATTGAAAATAAGAGCCAGTCTGCATCAGAAGCCGAACTACATCTGTCACCCCCTGAGAAAAAGAGTGAGAAGGAGGTGAGCTGGGTATGATAGCAGTTAAGTTTGGAATACAGCTACAGTTTCTGTTAAATATGGTACTTGCTGCCTTGATCCATGTAACTAATCAACTCTGATTCTGTACCAATGCTTTGTTGAAGTGTATGTCTGAGAAGCTAAGGCTAGAATAAATTAGTTTCAGGGAATATTCCATTACACTTGTTTTGAATGACACCCTTCATAGAATCTTCAGTGAGGTAAGTTTCTAACTTGTCTACCAGCCTAATTTTCTGAATTTTTTCTCCTATTTAAGTATTTGGAGAACTGGAGTAAGGTCAAGATCTGATCCAGTATCTTTAATATTAAAAAAAAATAGTTTAATTGAAGAAGCCAATAGCTGCTATGCATCAGTGACTACTGTTGGCTCTTCTTACTTCTTCACGTAAACCTAGAGTATCCATTGTGCCTAGTGGTGCCTCTGGGGTTTTTTTGTTCTCACTAATTGATCAGTGAGAAAGGGGATCTGACATTGTATTGAGTTCAAGGAATGGCTGTAGCATGTATGCTGGTGGGATGCATGAAAAACTGCTTGCCTGGGCTCCTAACAGCATAAGCTCTTGAAAAATTTTAGTGCAGGTGACAACACCAAGCTAATACACTGGTTAAGTTAGCTACTCTGCACTGAGCTCTGCCTTCTTAGTACATGTTTTTAGGTTCCCAAGCTATCTACTTCTCATTAAGTTGCCAATTTTTATCACAGATACACCCACTAGTATTGGGGAGTGGTGACTGGGCATAATCTTGATTTAGAAATGTCATTTTTAGGAAACTCCATCTGAACCTCTTAATGGTGAGGTAGAAGAAGAAACCGGTAAGACCTTAGTTGTGGCTGAAGAGAGGATGGCAAATGAAGTTCTAAGTGGTGAATCAAAATTGCAGTCTGAGAGTCAAGGAGAAGAAAATTTAACGCAGTTTGTTCCATTAATCCCTGAGTCCTCAGCAAAACCGTCAGAAGACACTGTATCAGAGAAGGTGAGGGAACTGAAACTAAACGTGAAGGTACCTTTCCTTCAGAGTGTACATATCTTGCTGGTTTTTATTTTATTAAGTAACAGATTGAAAGTAGCCCCTACCATAATACAGAATTGTTGGGACAACCAATTACTAGACCAGATGATGTAAATCCATACACAGAATATATTAATGTGCATGTGATACCAAAAAGAAATATATATATATAGCTCCAGTTTGTCTTAGCAGTAATGAAACAGCTGTTTCTCATTAAAATATTGTTTACACATGAGTGAAAAGCCACATCTTTATGTTGTGTAGTAATTCTGTCCTGATGAAGTGTTCAAGCCATTAATTACTGGTAAAGTACCCTTCTAGAACACATTTTTCTTTTATTTTTGTTTTTTGTTTATAGTGCCAAAGCAGGTTGTTATATGCTAGCAAAATATCTAAAATAAAAACCTTTTTTTTTCCCCTAGATTAATTTCAGAATGTTTTTACTGTTCCTGAGTAATTCTTTGAATAATTTAAGTTTGAAAATAGAAGAGCAACTCTGGATATTGAATGCAGTTCACAAAATAGTCTGGTTAATGGTACATGTAGTATTAAAAACTGCTGAATGCTGAATTACCCTTTGAGGTTGCTAGCTATGGGCAGTAGTTGTTTAGCCTCTTGGATCTGCAATTAATTGTCTCTGTGGTTGTTTTGACACCCATCCCCTCATGCCCCCCTGCCCCAGGTTTTAAATTCAAATGATTCAGAAGTGCTGACCGAAGAAACTATGTCTGTAGAGAAGGAGGGCAATGAAGAACAGCAACAATCTGAAAAGCCCACCACTGAAAATGCAGCTGCATCGCTGCCAAAGGAAGAGCCTTCTGACAATGGTTTGCTTAACTCTATGGTAAGTGAAGCAGCAGAAGAAACTTCTTCTGAAAACAGTGGGGAAGATCCAAATGAGGAGGCAGGAGTGAGTCAGAGCTCTGTGATAGTGGTTGAACTTGAGGGTGCTTCTTTGCAGCAGTCTGCTGGACAGGAAGGACAGAAGACCCAGTTGGAAGAGCACTCAGAAGGGCCTGCTGAGCAGGTAGATCAGCCCATGCAGACAACAGTGGAGCAGGCTGCAGACAGCAGCTCTGAGGAAGCAGAAGTTGAAGTACCAATTGTAGATAGGAGAAACCTGCGAAGAAAGGCCAAAGGCTACAAAGGTCCACCCAAGAAGAAAGGAAAACCAGCTTAAAAACAAAATACTGATTGTTTATTCAGCTATTTATAAGACAGTTACTATTTTGTGTAAAACACTAGGGTGTAACTAAACCGTATGGGACACAGGACACACATACGTTTCAAATTCTAGGTTGGACTTCCTCTTGGGATTCATCACCTTTCCTCAAGTTTTCTTGAATTTTTAACCACTAGACATAGAGCTTCATCAGAATATGAAAGTAAACAGCCAGTCTCCTCCTTTTATAAAGGATATGTGCTGAATAAATACAGTTGTGCTAGCAAAGGGAACAGTTTCCATATTTGTAGTGGCAGTTGTGAAAGAAAAATGCAGTGCGAATTCCTGGCCCTATCAAGGTCCCTTAAATTCCCATAAAATTCCATGAGGCCAGACATCACTAGCATTTTTTTTTTTAATAACGTCATGTTCTCTACCGTGGAAAGAAGCAGAACAAGAAAAATCATTCCTTGCCTCTTGTTCCCTCTCCATAGGTTCTCTCAGATGAGATTTAAAAGAATGTAAGATTCTGTAATTCCAAGTCTCAAAAGACTCAAGAAGGTATAAGTCAGTAGATAAAACTACAGAAGCAGCATCTGTCTTTCATGAGAATCGCTTGAAACAGCTGAGTCAGTAGAAACGCTGTCAGAGCAGCATCTGCTGTAGCGCACTCTGATAATGAAGTTCTTTTTGTGAAGATTAAGAGATGCCTACGCAGGAAACAGATTTGTAGCTTCCAATTGAGAGATGCCTACACAAGAAACAATTTGTAGCTTCCAAAGCAAGCATCTCTCTTTAAGTGTAAGTTTTTTGAGTGTGTGGAGTATAGACTCCAGTACACATAGAAAATAGCTTGAACTGCCTTCCTAACTACTTGCATGTGTTGAGTGGTTACTCAACTTGATTACTTGTTACATTACAGGAAAAAGATATGACTTTTGATCTCGTTTTGGTCTGAATGGAAGTTGTGCTTTGTGTTTTCCAAATACTCGGCTGGTGCTGTGGGGTAACTGTTAAAATGTTGTGTCTGCCAGGTGTGTAACTCCTCTGAGTGCTGGCATTTCAGGTGGTTGTTACATTCATTAGCGTGAATATTAGTGAGTGTTTCAGCAAATGCTTGTTTGCCAAACTGCCTTTAGGAGTTAGCAGGAGGCTGCTTGCAAATCTCATTTCCACTTCCTTTTTCTAACTTGGGTGTAATTCCTGGGATGATAGCTTCCCAATACACAGCTTTTCTGAAAAGCAGAGACCAAACTTTGCTACATGCAGGCAGAAATAAAAACAGGCTTGTCATCCATCTTTCCCTTCAGAGGGTCTCCTGGCAAACCATGTATTTAACTTAATTTGTCACACATACAGTGAGTTACTCCTTAGTTTGCTATGTGTTTCTTTCAATAAATGAAGCTCCTCTTGTAATGGGTTAAAAACTCAGAAATAAGAAAGAACAGTGGTTCAAAGATCAGAAAATCACACCACTATTTGTCCTGCTATATGCCTTTTCCAAGATGAGGGAACTAGTCTCCCACAGTGTCTCTGAAGTAAACTTAACTAGAAAAGGCTGTTAGGGCTTCTGAGTACAAGGTTCACTTTAATAGTTGCAAAGGTGTCCTAACTTTTATACCTCTGTGAAGCTAATGTCAGAATCTGGTTTTGGCTTTTATGCTTATACAGTTTAACTGTATTTATAAGATATTTTAACTGTATAAGATACATTCATATTCTTCTCAGTTGATGAAGTACCATGCTCCTTTTTAACCAGTTAAGAGCAGCTTACAGGGAAAAAAAAACAAACAACAGGTTTTTAAGAAATGTGTATTACCTGAATTTACATTCGGGGTGCATGGGATTACCAAGTTAAATCTGTTTCTTGAACTATTGCTCATAGCTGTAACTTGCTGTCAGTGTGCATACATGTACTCCTTATGAACCTTTTGACTGATAAAACATTCAAGATCTTTCATGATTCTTTGTAAATGTATTCAAGTGAACCTTAAGCATTTCTAAAACCAATCAGTCGTTTCTATAAAGCACATGACACAAAACTTCTGTTATCTTCTGGATGGCTTCTCTTTTAGTGCTAAGATTTATTGTATAGAAAAAAAAAGAGTAGCTAGAAAACACATACTGAATTACTAAGAATTTAGGACTTGTGAGGGCTGGTGGCTTTGAAAAGGTGATATACAGTATATTGTGATGTGTCTTTCATTTTTAGAGCAAGCTTTATAAAGATTAATCTGCTGAATACTTCAACTGAAAAATGTATCCACATAAAAAAAATCAAGGATTATTTTCCTTATGAAAAATTATTTCAGTTACTTTATGGTGGATTTTACATACATTAACATACACATAACATTTACATACATTGTATTCCCTGTGAGATGGGAAACCTGTTCATTGAAAGGTAAGGTCAGTCATCTGGCTTACTTTTCATGGATAAGTTGGAACCAGTTTTGATGACTGTCTTTCTTTTAAGCATATTTCTTTTTTGGATATTGAATACATTAGTATTACAACAGGATTATTAGATTATGACAGTCTTTGTTTCTGCTGAGAAGAATCAGATTGCTAACCTCATTTCACTGTATCAGTTATAAATACTTCTAAAATTAACTTAAATGCACACCTTTGAAATATGGTCATGAGTCTGTAAATCTTGGGTACTGATTGAACTAAAGGGTGTAGTTTATTTCTATAACAACTTCTTTGGCACCACTAATTTTGCAGCAAATACAGAGTAGCAAAATCAAAACACTGACTTTAATAATATTTTTTATTGCTGTAATGATTGTTCCATTGGAACAGTAGTTTCAAATTAGTCTGTACCTTCTGTTGCATTAATGCAAGGGAACATATCTGACAGCTGTATTAACTGATGTGTTTTACCTTGAGAAAAGCAGACTACTTTAGGCATGGATGTTTTTTTCTTTTTTTTTTTTTCTTTTGGCTGTTAACTGTCTTATTACCATCAAACTCTTCCAGAATTTTTAAGATCCTGTACCAGCAACCAATGAGTAAAACACCAACTTTATACAAGTTTGTACCAAATGTTATTACAATATGCTGTGGAACTACGTGTGTACAGTGAAAAACATCAGTATTATTTTTGAGATTTATTTAGCCTAGGAATAGAGTTTAAAGAACATTATTTTGTGAGTTCAGCATTGCACTTAAATGGTAAATGGTTTTGCATCTGAATCAAACATTTTTTTCAAATGGCTCTGTTATCTTACTTGTTAATTTTTAATGGGATTTGCTTTACTTCTCCCACGTTCTGTTTTGCTGTGTATTAATTTCATGCAGAATTCTTGTTTGCTGTTCTCATGTTTCTCATGTTTCATAGCCCTTTACATGAAAATGTATACATGTCTTATTTCAGAAGTGCTTTTAACTTATTTGAAGTGATGTCTGACCTTGATTTGTTGCTTTTTCTACTGTTTTATTTGTAGATGTCAGTAATCAACTTGATAATTTACTATGTCATCAACACTACTAAGTTAAACGTAGCAACAAATAGGCCTATGTTTCAGCTTCTCTGCTTTAAGTGACTGTTCTAAAAATCTTACTTCTAAGGGGATACACTTCTGAATTTAATTTCAGAAATAATCGTGTTAGATGTTTTCTAAACTAGTGATAATCCTGTTTATAAACCTCATGAAAAGATGTGTTGCTATTCTAGAATATTGTACTCAAGTCTTGTTACAGTGCTAGATTTTTCCTTTTTTTAGTACTGTCTTGGCTGCTTTTGAAATGTTTTGAAGTAGTAATTAAACTTATATTTTGTGATTATTTTTCTTATTTGTTTTTAGTCTTTTGAGTCCTTTGTGACAACAGGAGGCACATACTGGAACTAGCTCAATTTTTACAATCTATTTGCTACCTAGTTGCTCTAAAAGCTCAAAGATTATTAATTGAAAAATATTCTATCAATTAAAACAATTTCCTACATTTAACTAGCTTATGCATCAGACTTCTTTAAAAACAAGCTGTAGAACAGGCAGTTCTGAATGTTAGAGCACACATTCTGCTGTTGACATAGTTGGTATAAACCTAGCAGTTATGTATATATGTATATATGTATATAATGTAGTTTGCTACAGCTAAGACAACTAGAAATGCTGTAGCACACTCCCTACAGTCTGCTACACTGAAATGTCTCAAGTGCAATTACATTCAGCCAACAAGTCATATAGCACAAAAGTCATAATTTTCTTGAGACATTTTCTGTAGAAGACAGAGTATTCTGCTAATTTTATTTGTTAACATGCAGTAAAGTATGAAGCAGTAAGAACTTAGATGGAGGCTTATCCATTTCGACAAAATGCCCTCTTCTCCAGGCAAATGACTTACTGGCTTGTGAGCCTCTCTTAGTTTCAAATTACTTTTTTTACTTCCTTGTGTAGTAAAAAATCAGTAAGTTAAGTCTAGACTAGGGCAAAGTATTAAACCAACAAACCAGCCTGTAAGAGAAGACTTTGGTATAATTACAGTTCTGCCTCTATCAGATAGTATAAGAGACAATAGAAGGCTGGTACAAAAGCAGTTAGCTTGACTTCCTGGCCAGAATTCCAGTTCTCCAACATGATCTGGTCATGAGCGTGATTTAGTGATTATCAGTCGTACCAGAGGCCAAGAGCTGCAATTGTTCAGCCTGGAGAAGAGAAAGCTCAGGAGGATCTTACCTTGTGTACAAATACCTAGTGGGGAGTAAGAAGAAGATTAAGCAAGACTCTTCTCTGTGGTTCCCAGTGACAGGACAAGAGGTGGGGGCACAAACTGGAATACAGTACTTCTCTTAAAACATTTTAAACTGTTCAGAGTGGTCGAACACTGGATCAGGTTGTCCAGAGGTGCTGAAGTTTCATCCTTGGAGATACTCAAAACAAGACTGGATGTAGCCCTCAAACACCTGCTGTGGTTTACTCTAGGCTGGGGACTTGCTCCCTTACAACTGTAACAACTGTTATTCTATGATCTGCTAGTTTATTGCACACATGACCACCTCTAACCTTAATCCAACAAGCCCCATTGCAAACCTGTTCACATTCTGGCTTCTGAAACACAAGTTCTGTTTGAAAGTCTCCTTCTTACAATGTTGAGAGTTGCGTACCTTCATAAACCAGAGAAAGCATGTAAGGCTTTGACCAAATTCTTGATGGGAAGATTACCCATGCAGTTGTACAGTGTCACTGAAACCTAGTTTAGAAGCAGCTTTTGTTTCTTGTGTATTGAGGATGCAAACTAAATACATAGTATGAGTTCATGCTTGTGATCTTCAGTGGTCTAAATGTGTCTTAAGACACACTAGTGTCTTAAAGCCACCAAAATATCTGCAAGTACTTGTAGTTTATGGGCTGTTGTGCCATTCTCAAATTTTACATCTCAAAATCCCTACAACTTCAGGAGTTTAAACTTGAATAAACTATTCTCTTGCCTGAACCAATAGTGCTACACTCCAACCCTTACTCTTTCCATTAGTGTAGTCATGGATGCAAAGAGGAGAAAAACAGGAGATAATGGAGGGAGGAAATACATGCTCCCCTAGTTACGTTCTTCCTCTGCCTCCCCATGCTGTTAATGTGCTCTCAAGCCCATGCTTCTGTAGAGGCAAGTATCATAGAACCATTCAGGTTGGAAAAGACTCCTGGGCTCACCAAGTCCAACCACCATCCCTACTCTACAAAGTTCTCCCCTAAACCACATCCACCACCACCACTCAACCACCTCCCTGGGCAGCCTATTCCAGTGTCTAACCACTCTTTCTGTGAAAATATTTCCTAATGTCCAGTCTAAACCTCCCCTGTTGCAGCTTGAAGCCATGCCCTCCTGTCACTGATTACCTGTGAAAAGAGACCATCACCAACCTTTCTGCAGTGACCTTCCAGGTAGTTGTAGAGACTGATGATGTCTCCTCTCATCCCCCTCTTCCTCAAACTAAACACTCCCAGCTCCTTCAAGTGTTCTTCATAAGATTTATTCTCTAGGCCCTTCACTAGCTTTGTTGCCCTCCTCTGTACTTGCTCCTGCACCTCAATATCTCTCTTGAATTGAGGTGCCCAAAACTGGACACAACACTCCAGGTGTGGCCTCACCAGTGCTGAGGACAATCACCTCTCTACTTCTGCTTGTCACACCATTTCTAATATAAGCCAGGATGCCATTGGCTTTCTTGACCACCGGAACAGCTGCATTCTTCCAGCCCTTCTGCCTTCCAAGAAGCAGAATACAAGTTTGTATGTTCCTCTGGTACCTTCAGCCAGGTACAGCAGGGCATCATGGGAGATGGTGACTATATTTCCCATCACTAGGAATGTGTGCTGAATTGAGTATAGAATATGTCTAAGCCACAAAACTGCCACTGTAGAAACACTAAGAAGACTGAGAAAATTTATGACAGTAGAAGAACATGAAAATTGAATCACTTTATTTGGACAGTGTTCAGCTGAGCAAACATAATAAATAGAAAATCCCCAAAAGCTGTTTCTGGCATACTGAAGTTCCTTAGCAGCTTAAGTGTCAGCGTTCTTCAATAGTTCCAGAGATCTTGCAAAGTTGTTGAAACCACTGATTTTGCTGGAGCCCCTGTCCAATGCTTAGTATCAAAATGTAACTTAAACAAGCAGTACTGCATTAATACAGCCATCATTTTCTGGATTGTTGGTTACTTGTGCATATTTTCCTAAAGAGAAAAGGGAATTAAATGTCTACAGAAGCTTGTAGTAGTTCATATTACCAGAATTTTCTATATTTGCAAGTTCAATCCACAAGTCTCACAAATTCCTCTTCCAAACTGAAATGCATTTTAAAATTTAAATCTACCTTCTGCTGAGTTGCAAACTTAGGTTCTCAAAATACTTTCTTTAGGCTGTTGTTTATAAATGCATAGTTTAGAGTTCCAGGTAGATTTAAATAAAATAATTCACAGTTTCTGCTATAGTCCAAGTAAACTGCTGTTCAAAAAAAGGCACCACGATCCTATGAAGATACTTCCACTGAAAACAATGGTTGTTCATAGTTAGGTCTTTGCAGGCTTGTAGCACTGACTAATGTGACACAAATTAAACACGTTGAGTCTTTTTTCTGAACTTTATCTAATTTGATTTTGAAAGTATGAATGGAAAGCATAAGACTAAAACTTAAAACGTTCATTTTTAGAGCTGCCTAGATTCTGCCACAGCCCAGACCTAACATTTAACAGTGGATAAATTACGACAATTTACAGGATGTGGTCTTAACAATACATCAGGCAGTGAAGACTTAAAACTTTTACAAGTAATTCTACAGTGCAGCTAGTTTAACAACTTACCCCAGATAACTTTGCCCCCTTGGGTCACAAGGCCAAGCTCACTCACGTTCACCTCAATGACTGTACCCTTGGTAATTACGCCCAGAGTTGTATACAAAGGAGAAGAAGGATTCTTTTTTACACCAAGGATAGGTAGGCAAAAGGTAGCTTTAAGTTCAGGATGTGTCACATGTGCCTTCTTGAAACGTAAGCCCTGTTGCATAAGGAGTGTTGAAACAAGTAAGTATTTCCTTTAAGCTCTCATGACTAACCTAGGATAACACTTTTTAGCATTATGTCCTCAGTGTATGTTCCAAGAATATTGGAAGACTGAAACCTAAAATACAAAACACTACCTGCCTACTACAAAATGCTAAATTTGTTCTAAAACCGGATTAATGGGAAGATAAAGCTTTCCATGTATATTTTCAGCCATATTTTAACAGCAGTACAAGAACACGTGCTACCTCAGGTGGCCTCTCTTGCATAAAGAAATGAGGCATTTATGGTAACACATTTAGCAGCGTTACTGGTTTTCACAAGCAGAAATTTTTCCTTTATTGTTGCAAAACTGAAAAAACATTTCTTTTAGCACTTTCTATCTAGCAACCTGTGAGAAATAGTAAGTGTCAATAATAAGTCCCCCCAAGGCTTCTGTGTAAGATAACCATCAAAATAGTAACATGGTATGATGCAACAGGCAGCCTGCCTTGAGAGTCGGTTCATTTCTGTGAGGAAACGGGAACAGGTATTTACAGAAAGACTACACTGTCTTAGGAAGTCTAACTGTTCTTCCTGTGCACTGCCAGGCTGCAAGGGCCCAGTCACTGTTCCTGCAGCTGTGTAGGAAAGGTCAGGCTAGAGGCACATCACTTCCCTCACCTACAGTCACAACTGTGCTTCAAGCATGCTGAACAAGCCAGAGGAAGGGATTCTGGAGCCCTAGAACAGAGCTCGCTTCTGCAGCTGACAGAATCACAGCACCTTCAAAAAGAAGCCTCTGACCTTAAAAGTTAATCAAAGTGCCTTTGCTAAAGAGGATCTTCCTCTGCTAATCTGACACTTTGTAACTTAGGTTTCTGGCTTCATCTGGGTTATGGCAGTAAGAACAGAAGTTTCAATGCAGCGTGCAGGGGCATCTCCCCATCCCGACTATTGTATGTTTGGATTTCTGTAAGGAAATGAATAACCATGTTCTGTATCAGTAGTAATCAAGTGAATTACCACAGAAGAAAGTTTCTTTGCCCCAGGAACTTAAAGCAGTAAGTTAACAGAATTGCTACATAAGTGTTCTTTAAGACTCAGTAACATTACCATTGGTCGAATGAATCGTTCGTATTTAGGAGGCTTCCGAGTGAACCCATCTCCAACAAAACAAACTTTTGTGACCATTCTCTTCCAGGCCTTCTTTTTTCTCTTTCCTGTACGAATTACTTTTAAAACTTCTGTTTCTCCTTGTGCACGGACCTTTGGCACAGGAACCTCCCATTTCCCCTGGAAGAGGAAAGAAAAAAAAAAGTCAGTAGTCTTACATGGTCCATTGCTAAATGAAAGGGGTCAACCAAAGCATAAAATAGAATTTCCCTCAAGAGTACTTTTTATACAATGCATAGTTACTTATTTTAATTAGCACTTAGAGTTATGAAAACTCTAGGTTTTCGTATACTGAATATTCTTTCTTTATCCTAGATTGATCAGTTGTTTAGGGTTTCATGTTCTGTACAGAATGAATATTTAGACTTTGCTTCCAGTCTGTAAGTCACCTGAGCATCAGCAACACCAGGTGGTCACTGTCACAAGTAATAGTAAGTATGTGAGTGTTAATACAGTTACTTACAGCTTTTTCTTTTCTTTTCTGCTTGATCATGTTAGAGAGAACCTTAGCCCGAGTCTGGCCCTCTCGGTCCAGCAGGTATGCTGGCACAGCTCCTTTAGGTGTTTTTTCATCATTCTTTTTCTTGGTATTTCTATTTTCATGCATTTTAATGCTGCAAGGAAAGACAACCAGTATTAAGAGTAGGAAAAAAGGTTCATTTTTAGATCAGATATATCCTTTTAACTTAGCTTGTGCCTGCTCAAAATTTTCTTTCAAAATAGGTATTTGTAAACAAGTACATATTTAAAGCACAATCCCAAATAATTTTCAAGGTAAACTAACACGTTCCTTTAATGTAACACCTGGCAGGCTGCACAGTGCATAAAAGCTTGGCTATTTCCATTATGACAGGAACACGAGATGTACATATTGTAAAAGGAATTTCTGAGTTACTTATAACAGGCAGCTGGGCGCTCTAAGAAAGAGCAGCCTTCCTCTCTGAGAAAAAGCAACATACTACTACTCTTCTGAGATTTGCTGGAAATGCTTAAAACCTTGAGGAATGTGTTTGTGCACAAAGGGTTGTGTTTTGTTGATTTTGAGGCTTTTTAGGAGAAAAAAAAAAAAAAAAAAAAGTCCACAAACTAATTAACATAACCAATACCTGCAGAAATAACAGAGGAAAACAACTGTCTGCACTTGGTAAACAGCAAAAACAACACAGTGGATAGAAATTAAGGTCATTCGCAAAGCAGATTGCTGACAGTTTTTAGTTTGATTTCTAAGACAGGAAAAATTTTCAGGAAAATGCTGTTGTTTATCCATGTTTGATACTTAACTTATCCTGGCAGACAGGCCTCGTGTTCTGCTGAGGCACTGTGTATGCTACTGTGCTCTCCTAGCACTGCTTTGAAAAGCCTGCTGCCTCTCGCTGCACTAGCACAGCAGTTGATGTTAAAGCCCTAAGTAAATGCCTTGACATTTTTATCACAGCTACATTATTCATTGCTGTTGCTAACGACCACTTATTAAAGGCAGGCTTTTAGGAGCAGAATTGTTAGCATCCCTTGAAACACAAGGCAGTCAGAAAAACCCACTTTCTCCTGCAACCCCGGCGCTATTAAAAAGCATCGCGTGTGATCCCACCAAGAAGCAGCTGTTGCAGCATCTTGGCCTCCAAACGCCAGGGAGGGCGGCGGGTACTCACGTCTTCTTCATCTGTATCTTCTCGGCGTGTCGCTGCTTGTGGTAGAGCTTGGCCTTCAGCCCGATCATCTTCTTGGCCTTCCGGGAGCGCTCGTGCGCCTCGCGTCCCTCCTTCTTCCTCCTCCGCTCGTGGTAGTCCAGCCGGTACCCATAGCGCTTGCGGTGCAGCTC